GAGTGTAACGGGATAAGGCATAAAAGGACTTGAACTAATCGAACACGGCCAAAATACTCTGAAGAAGGCTGCAGTTGGCAGCCGAAAATTTAGTATGTTTTTATTGAAGATTTTTAATAGATCAGTTACAAACTTTTACAAAAATATCATATATATATATATATATATATATATATATATATATATATATATATATATATATATATATACCGGGTGGCGCAAAAAAAAGTTAACCTGTTTGATTTGTTTTAACTTAAAAGCTAAAAGAGCTATTACACGTGAACTACATTGCATTCAGTATTGTCCAACTTATATTTTGATATACGCCTTGTGCATTTTCGTGAAATATTGACCGAGAGAGCTGCGTTTAAACTTGAGTAACCATTTTTGAAAGTGTCGAGAATTAGCCAAAAACGGCCTATCAAATATTTAATACAGCGCGAAATAACCTGTGCTTAGACGCACTATAGAGTATAGTCAGAAAGTACACGTAACACGTTCGTTGTCAGAGACCTGCCCAACGCCGCCGGTATAACCTCACGAGCATTATTTACCCTTGCATATTCTAAACATATCGAAACTCTTTGGTCCTTCGTTAAACGAGGCGTATTTATAAAAAAACACTTGACGTTTCTTTCTTGGAACATTAGAATTTGATTACCATGCAGGGTCATTGAATATTTAGAATAAATCTTTTAATCAAAATCGCGTCATAAGTTAATTTTTATGCATTCCCAAAGACTTTAAAACAAAAATAAAAGAGCACATCCATCCAATAAACATTTTTAATTAAATATTGTGGCCTGAAGATCGCATTGAGCGTGAAACTCAGAGTTGTGACTATATTTTAATATATATATATATATATATATATATATATATATATATATATATATATATATATATATATATATATATATATATATATATGTAGTGTTTTTTTTTTAGTTGTTTTCATACGAGTGTATACCAAACCGGGCAAGCAGAAAATTCTACTTGACCGCGGCTGGGATTCGAACCCGCGACCTTCGCATTTCCAGAACGATGCTCTACCTTCTGAGCTACAAGGTCAAGCTGAGAACGACGTGTTAAGTTATGATGTTATTCGCATTTCGGAGGTTAGTCCTTCAATGCGTAAAGCCAGCTATTAGTCTGGCAATGTTGTATGTGAATGTTGTGGTTTCCACTCGTGTTAACATCATAACTTAACACGTCGTTCTCAGCTTGACCTTGTAGCTCAGAAGGTAGAGCATCGTTCTAGAAATGCGAAGGTCGCGGGTTCGAATCCCAGCCGCGGTCAAGTAGAATTTTCTGCTTGCCCGGTTTGGTATACACTCGTCTGAAAACAACTCATAAACGCTACATAACGTAACACGAGTGGAATCGTCAACGTGGGAAACCACAGCATTCATATATATATATATATATATATATATATATATATATATATATATATATATATATATATATATATATATATATATATATATATATATATATATATATATATATATATATATATATATATATATATATATAAGTTAATCACCTGGCAAAAAGCCATTTAAATAAGTTAATCACTAACACATATTGACGTTTCGACTTTATTGTCTTCTTCCAAGTAAAAATCGTTAACATAAACCCCTACTTATATACCCTACCAGACGAACATAATTATTCATACTCCTCAGAATCCTGTTCAATGTTCAACCCCGAGGGGTACATTGTCATAAGTCTATTAATCCAGTACATTTCCCTAATCGTTGGTTCTGCTGGGTTGGTTTTATCAATTATGACTATATCACAGTCATTCATTAAGCCATTATGGTTTTCACCTAAGAAATGCGAATGAAAAAAGGCTTGTGTATGAGCTTTGTTGGACATTGCTTTCCTTTGACAAGATTTATAATTGTTCCATCGAAAGCGAAATTTATCTGTCGCCTGACCAACATATTGCTTCTTACACACTTTACATGTCAAAAGATAAACCACACACTTTGAGTCACAGTTTAAATGATGGTTCACTTTGTATTGTTTACCATCAGCTGTGCACCTAAAAGTGTCGGTTTCGTGAATATTTTGACACGTCAAGCACCTGGGTTTATTACATTTCTTACATCCTTTCTCTCTTACTAATGGTGGTACCTTAGCTCTAACTAAGTAACTTCTTAAATTACGGCTTGTTCTAAACGCCGTAAATGGTTCAGGGGTAAATACTTTACGAGCTTCAGTGTCTAAGTACAAAATATGCAAATTTTTCTTAATTACTAAACCAAAGTGCTTTAACAAAGGATGGAAAGCTATAGTTAAAGGCACTCCTGTCTTACAACTTTTTTCTCTAAGTATATTACTTTCCGCTTCAATATTGTATTCCCTGACCCTCTTAAATTCTCTTTCTATGAGCCATGTTGGATATGCTCTATTTTTAAGCCAACTAGACAGTTCTTGTAAGTGTTTCTCAAAATCCTCTTCACGCGAGCAAATTTTCTTGATGCGCAAACCCTGACTATATACGATAGATCTTTTAACGTGCGCAGGGTGTGATGACTCATAATGTAGATATTGATGGCAATCAGTTGGCTTACAAAAAAGACTTGTAATAAATCTACCAGCATCAATTCCCACCGAAACATCAAGAAAATTCACTTTAGTCTGCGAGTACTCGTATGTAAATTTCAAGCCAGGATAGAACGTATTAAGTTTTTCCATAAACTGCAACAGTTTATCTTCACCTTCTAACCAGACAAAAAAGATGTCATCAATATACCGTAACCACACCCAAGGTTTTATTTCTTGTTGTTCTAAAAACTCAGTCTCCACCATATCCATAAAAATGCATGCATACGGAGGAGCAAATTTTGTGCCCATGGCTGTCCCAGAAATTTGACGATAAACATCTGAATTAAATTCAAAATAATTATTTTTAAGGACAAATTCCGCTAAACTAATAAGGCTTTCTGATGACACTGTTTTATCTTCACGTTCCTCTAGCTTGGTGTGAAGTGCTCGCAGACCATCCTCGTGTGGGATACTGGGATAGAGGCTTGTAACATCAGCAGTTACAAGCAATGCATTTTCCGGAACTTTACCTATTTCTTTTAATTTATCCAAAAAATGTCCTGTATCTCGAATGTAGGACTTCCCTGCTTTCATTATGGGTTTAAGATGGTGATCTAAGAATTCAGACGCCCTCTCTGTAGGAGTCCCACAATTAGAGATAACAGGACGTCCGGGTACATTTCGAAGCCTTTTATGAATCTTAGGTAAAAGATATAGCCTCCCCAGTGCACACGAATTTTTAAAATCGTACGAAAAATACTTAAATTCGTCTTTCGAAATGCATCCTTGATTATACAGCTTATGAAACATGTTGTTGCTTTCCTCAGTCAAAGACATCACAGTTTCTTCCGAAAACCTTTCCATTTTGGTGTAAACATTATTTTCACTTAGTTGCGAATATCCTTCTGCTAAA